TAAGTTGCATAAGTAATATTAGTGGTAGTAGTAGTAATAGTAAACTATAATAAACTATGTCAACCATTCGCCGATAGAAAGGAAATGGGTGTTTTAATGGCAGCAGTAGTATTCATGGCTGTTATAGCAGTAGTAGTATTAGTAGTAGTAGAATAGGTTGCATAAGTAATATTAGTGGTAGTAGTAATAGTACCAGCATTATTACTAGTGATGCATGTAGTATTAGCACTACTAGTAGTAGCAGCAGTATTATTATTAGTGGTTGTAACAGTAGTAACATAATTAGTAGCATTAGTAGTAGTGTTAATACTAGTGACGCATGTAGTAATAATGTCAGTAGTAGTACTAGTAGTGATGGCACTAGTATTGGCGGCAGTAGTAGTTGTTGTTGCATTAATAATAATCATCATACTAGTAGTAGCGGCCATAGCCATATTGGCAGTAGTAGCAATAGCAATTTTGCAGACAATATTTTTAGTAATGGTTGCAGCAATAGTAATAGTAGTAGTGGTGGTAGTTTTAGCGGTAACAGTACGAGTAGTAGCTGCGATGATCGAAGTAATGGTGGCACAAATATTAATAGTAAGGTAATAAATGGTAGCAGCAGTAGCAACAGCAGTAATATTCACGGCAGAAGTCACGTCGCCGTGGTCTTTTTTGCCCAAGACGAAATCAATGAGCTCAGTGCACCAAAAAGGACCTTTAAACTAACTAGCGCACCCAGTGGACTTACGTATGATGCGTTCCGTAGCTAATCGGCAGTCGAGCCTACAAGATGGAAATTAAAATAGGAATTAAGGTTCACACCAGCACTAGAATTTACTGTTATGATAGTTGGAAGAATAAAACCACAACAAGCAGCAAACGCCTGAAAAAATCGGAACAGGGGAATAACTGCAGGATTGTTGTGAAAAAGGATAAAAACATGAACTTCACGTCCAGTAAACGAGGAAAATCCACTTTGCCCCTATTTTTACAAAGGATGCCACGCCAAGACACGCGGATTAACAGATAGTTGACTAGATGCGTTTACGGCCATTACCCGCCTCGATTAGTTCTCCCCTGAGTAATATTCGACCATATAGCTACCCTAAAGCCCTCATAAGCCGATGCCTACGTGCCCGCCCTCCGAGGACCCAAACAGAACTAACCCCCACGATTTGGCATGCACTTCCATAGATCAAAGACGTGTCGGAAGCGACCGAGCGTATTGCCGCGGGAATAGGCGTTG